GAAAAAATATGGGAAGTGCAACACCCTCATGTCAGTCAGTAGACTTTCCAAGTGCGTGTCAATTTAAAAAAAATTATTGTAAATGATTAATTTAAATTAATTGTATCCAATTAGGTGATTAATTAAAAATATTTTTGGTTGTTAAATTCTTGAAATAATATTTAAAACCTAAATAACAATCTAAGCTGAACTACATTCAAGGACTTGCACCACTGAATATTTGATTCAGCTCATCATAGACTTGATAAAAAAAGTTTTCTTTAAGATGTTTTTTTTTCTTCTGAGATTAAAATATAAATTATTATTGAACTTTTATTAATAATTACAATTTCATCAATTTTAATTTTGTTGAGAAAATAAATTTACAGCAAATAAATGTGATAATAAAGGAAGATTATGCTAAATTCTCTCATCAAACATCCCTTGACTTTATGTACTAACTTAATTCCATGGTATTCAAACTGCAGTCAATAAAATGCAATAATTACAATTATTTTAATAAGTTACACTGCAAAATACAAGTTATATTCACTATTAAATGTCAAAAAAAATTCAACACACCAAGCTAACATTAATTACATTATTCTACAGCCTCGAAAATCATATTTTATTCTTTAGCTTACGTATTATTTTCACAGTTTTTTCAACAAATTAATTCATAAAATGAAGATATAAGTGACTATTACCTGCCAAATGTTTCCAGTGTTGTTGGAGATTACTGAAATACCAACAAAAAATAGCATAGTGGATTTAAATATATAACAAAGTACTTGGAATATTTAAAAAATAAACTATTGCGAGCTGTTGTAAATTCTACAGTAGTTGATAAAAATACTCATTGCAATAACCAAAAAGTTGAATATCAATAAATCATTCTTGAAACTGAATGTTGTAATTTCAATTGTAAAAAAAGTAAATTGCAAGTGAAGTTGTATTAAATATCAATATCCTATTGCTTGCATAGCAAATCATTAAAATTTCACATACAAAGCTACAGGACTCTAAAATTCACCTTTATAATATTATTTCAATATTTACAATCTTTTATCTGTCTGTAATGGAAAAACAAATATTAAACAACATTTGAAAAACAATTGAAGAATTAAGACAAAAAAGAAAAATGCACTTTTAATCAATAATTATACATCTACCATTTTCTCAAACAATTTAAAATTACCAATATCCCAAAAAAAAAGTATTTACCAATCTTCTTTATGGGCAAGATTAATGGAGATCCTCCAGCTCCTATTCACCGTGTTCCAATAAGTTTATAACATCAGTAGTTCTCTCAATACCTCTGTATCTCGAATTACCACAGCATCCTAAATATGCTTGGTTTCTCTTGGTTGTACATAACCATTAACTCAACTCCTACAAATCAAGTTTTTCGTTTTCAACATCATTATATTATTGGATTATATTCTTAGACTTTAACAAGAGGAAACAGTGGTAAAGAAGGATAGAAGCCCACTGCATTCAGATATTAAATATGTAGCAAGAAGTATCGATAAAAGAAAGAGTGTAAGAGACGAAGAAACTTGGCATCGACTCCAGATTTTAGTTGTCCAACTTGGAGAATGCGGGAGCAAGTTGGAGAATTGGCACGCTAGAGAAGTAAGACGAGCTGAGAGGAGAGTAACAGAAGAGATGGAACATGGTCTTCTTTCAAGTCTGTCGTAAGGAGGTCGAGCCTCAGCATCACGTCTTCCGGTTTCCGTTCTATTCCAGCACAAACGAACATTGATCGGATCTTTCATTGCTGCTTCGTTTCCATACATGTCAATCTGTCGGTGTATTTGGTAGTACTGGGTGTATATTTATCTGTATACGTCCGTATATTTCTTACTACTGTGAGGTAAGTAATTTTCCCAATAGACTCGATCAATATTCAATATTGATGACAGCATATGCTTGAGATGAGTACTGTGGGATTGCTTTTCTAGATCGCGTCAAGACTGTCTACTTAGAGTGAAACTCGTAAATGCATCACGCTTGAGTGTTATTATTCGCTATCAATCGATGGAACTAGAGGCTTTATTTGCCTCAAGAATACCCTTACAATTTGGGATTCACTGGCAGACAAATGAAAATGGATTACAGTCGATTATTATCGCTAATCCAATGAATAATAGCCCTATCCTTTTAGCCCTACCTCTTATCCTTTATACCAACCTCCAAGTGTACAGGGAAAAAACTTTTAGGTTGTAAATGAATATGTTTATGCCCAAGATACAAACAAAAATTTTTTAACTGCGAATAACCTGAGGTAATTTAATTTTTATTATCATGTCTATCATATCATGGAATATGATAGGATTAATTTTGGGAAACTTAATAACACATTGAATTAAATTGTAAAATAAGACAGTTTTAGTCAATAAAGAAAGGAAAATTTTCGAGGTCCAAGATAAATCTTTCCAGATTTCTAGGGTTCAACAGTTGAGGGTGGAAAGTAATCCTATGGAAAGAAAAACTTTTCTGGTCAAGGGAAGTTTTAGTTTTTATGGTTAAGACCAGTTTTGGAGAAAGTAGTTGTATGATAAACAGTTGAAGGTACCTATCATTTTGGAATTTTTGGTTTCTTGCACAAACTTTGTTTTCATACTCCAATCATGTACTTTGCATATACCTTGTTAGCATCCTTTAAACATTATTTTACATAAAAGAACTTTCTGCGTAAACCTGTCATTTTTTCATTAAAAATATGCTTATATTTGAATCCTTAGATTCCTTCTATTTCATTCAATCGTTTTTATTATGTCATTGTAATTTTTTATTGAAAAATTCTTTTATTTGCTCTTCAAGAGTGAACTTTCGTATTTTTTGTGCAGATTAATCGATTTCTTTCTCCTTGAACTAACTTGAATACCAAATTATTTTAAAGGTAAAATTGGAGAACAAGTTAACTACTATTAATGAGATGTTATTTTATTGTTGATTTTCAATTGTTCTGAAAGAACAATAAATCCAAGCAGTAATAACTGAAAGACAAAAAAAAGTCTGTGGGGAATTTTTTTATTAAATTTTCTTCAATTTTTCACAAAATTGAACTGAACACTCCGGCAAAATGTTTGCCAAATCCGAAAAATAAATATTTTTCTTGATTTTCCTGAAATCACTGGGGGTTGATAAAATATCACCGAACGATTGATTCAAGCAGTGGTATGCTTACGACTATTTTTGAGTTATTTTTATGAGGTCATATTTGAGTTAGTGATCTATTCATGTACGTCGATAAAGCCATTAATAGGAATTAATTCACTCAACTTAATTTATTAAAAGGAAGCACTAACAAAACTTACTACTAACAAAGGTCTAGATTCTTGAATTTTTTCCATTCTTGGATTAAAATAATTCCCAATCAAAATTACTTCTCTCAACTTGTTGGAGATCCTTGACGACACTAAATAACTTCACATCCCTATTTACTATTCAATAAGATCACTTCATTTGCAAACGTTAATTAGGAAAAATGATCGTTTATTACTTGTTATTTATTCTGTCAATAGTTTAATATCGATACCTGTTAAAGACTCTTAATTTGATCCTTCACATTGAAAATATCCCTTATTAAACGTAATATAATATTTGCCAATATCCAGAGATTTCAAGTAGCGGATTTAATAATTTATTTTTCCACCGTGATCATATTTACTTTGATAACTAAATTTTCTTATCAATACATAAAAAAGTCTATAGTATTACTAATTTATATTCATTTTATAGGTAATTTTGCTTATTAAATTAACATATATTACGTAATAATACATTTCGAGTCCATATTAATTAAAGAAATTATTTGTATTATTCACTGTTAACATTTAGGGGATAGTATTCTCTTCAACGAAGCAATAAATAGTAACTGACTCGCAGTGGTTTTCACTGATTCAGTTTAAGAGAGTATAGGAATACATTTATATCAGGTAACTCTACTCTCTGCTGTATTTTGTTGAAGATGAACTATAAATATACTTTATTCAAAGATTTATGAGCTAAAATATACGAAGGTAATGAGAGGATATCATTACAATGATTATGTTAGTGTTGTTTTATTTTTATTCTTTTAAAAAATATAAAAATGTTTTATGATAGATATATTGTGGAAATCAAAAACTACAATAAGTAGATATACCTTAATTAGTCAATTTTAATATTACGAAGAACAGAATTAAACAACAGTGATACATCCACTCTTACTTGTCTCTCACTACTTATTACAATAAAACTGATTATTATGATAATTTCTAAATAATCTTATTGATTTCAGCAATTTTTAAATTTAAAACGAGACAATGAAACTTTTTGATGAAAACAATAAAAAAGTTTTTAATAATACAAATCGTAATATTCCGCTAATAAATCGAAAACTGCTTGACCAATATTGCTAGAAGTCTACTTAACGTCGTTGAACTACCTTGAATTGGATCGAAAAAACGGTTTCGAATAATAATCTAGCCAGCTGTTCTCAAAGTATTATCGAATAACATTTTTGTTACACACACACACACTTCACAATGCGTCTTTGAAAAAATTATACTAAATATTAATATCAACATCTATCTTTTAATCTTATAAAATATATATAATTTATATTACCTTATATACTCACAGATACTAATTCATACTCTGTATTTTCCCCTGTATGAAATAATTTAATCTCATTTTTATTGTATACTCATAAAAAATTATTCTAATTTATAATAAATGCATAGTAAATATATAGTTATAAATATACTCAGTTGTTTTTCATTCTTTAAACTATATTTGTCTGTTATATACATCCAAAATAAAATATAAAATGCGTATAAATGCAAAAACTGTAGAAAGATTATTCTCATTAAAACTTGCATTCATACATACAGAGAATGAATTATAGCAGCAGGTGAGCTTGCATATATCCGCGTTATTAAAGGTTTGATTACTTCATAAAGAGTTTATTTAACTAATTTTTTTATTTCAATGTTTATGTTGATTTTAATTTTATTTATCTTCATTTACAGGTCTTTTATCCGGTACATTGAAAGCCTATCAACGAGCCGCCTGCGACGAAGAAACTATGTCACTTAGGTGTCCTCCAGGCACCTCAATCTCCATTGTTTCCGCACGCTATAAACGAGTTCTAGGATCCAAGGAAAAGTGCTTCAACGATAGATTAGACCTTTCTATATCTAATAATGCACTTACCAACGAAACATGTCAATTTTCTAATGCTCTTGAGGTACGTAAATAATTTAATCGAATTCTATTATATGTTTTAGTTGATTCCATAACAATTTCCCATTAATTTTTCTTTCCATTTCACTGAATCTCATTTCGGAAATGATGATTGCTTTATAAGTACAAAAATATTGCTGAGGTATATATAATACCGATACACAATTGTGCTTTATACTAAAATGATCCTTATAAGAACAATTGTTCTTCATTTGAACGTTTTTTCCATCTATTTCGAGACGTTTGAGCGAGCTTTTATCTTTCCTTGCTCGTGAGCTGAATTAACGAGCGTTTTTCGGGTCAGCTACCATTCGCGAATAGGAAAAGACATTTCAACGATGAGAGAAGAGATTTTCAGAATGTGCCAAGTGTTTTCCTTTCGGTCGCGTTTTGAAGTTATACGCTATGAACAAATCTCCCAAGCGTCCCAGAATCCAAAATTACACTTTTAACGTGCAAGAAAAATCATGTTGCGTTTATGAGTTTAAATTTATGCACTGAAATTCGAATTGAAGGACGGTTAAAAGAACAAAAAATTTACTGTAGTTTTAAAATAACTGTATTTTCGCGATTAATTGATGGACTTCAGTGAACTACACTGAGAGAATTTTCTTTGAAAAATTACTTCTAACTTCGGATTGACCGCGTGACACTTTCCAATTTGGAAAAAATATAACTGAACAATTGCCGAACTTAGAATTAAAATTGTCTGAAGAGAATAATAAATTTTAACGAGCTCGGTATTGGCGAAGTATTCATTGTAACATATTCCCCATACTTTGAACAGAATTAGATAATTTTTAGTGACTATGTATCAGTAGCCTGGCTCATTGTTATTATAATAATGAATTTATGAATAATAAAATAGTGACAATATACATCGATGTTTATCCTATTAATATAATCATTATTAATTATATTGAATAGCTGAAAGATATAAAAAAAATATACATATATGCATAGGCCGAACTTGAGAAAAATACATATTTGAACGCTAAATAAAAGCATCGTTTAAACGCATGAAACAGAAATGTATGTGTTTGACCAAACTCCTTAGTAAATTCTACTCTTGGTAATTATTTAGAATTGGGGCTCCAGGCAAAAATCGCTCCAAAAAATTTTTTACTGCCTGGAAACTATTTTCTTAGGTAGAATTAGACAAATGAAGGTGGGAGAGACATGTTTCATGACGTTTCATCCAAAAAAACAGGATTTTCAAGTATAGGTATAGCTTGAATTCCAATAATACAGTGACGAAGAGGATAAAAGGTGTGAGGGGGGGGGTGTTTAAAGGGCATTAATACTTTTATAATTTTTGAAAATGTTTATAGCGTTTTAACACCCCTCCCCCACCCTCTTGCCTTTTTTTGCTACGTTCTGAAATGTACGATCAACAATTTTAGAGACATTCAGTGATTTATCATATGTAAGTTCTACCATTTAATGTCTAAAATAATGGAAAAAAATGTTTCCCCCGCCTTAAATTCACTATTTGTACCCTCAGAAATAACCCCAAATGCATAAGAAATTTTTTAGAGCAATTTTCGCCTGGAGCCTCAATTCTAAATAATTACCCTACTCTTACATTGTATTTTTAATAATAATCACTCAATGATGATAGCAACATTTATTAGTTCTTACAATTCACAGTGCTGAGAACAATTGAATACTCTTAAAAAATAATTCTTCACCATCATTTTCATGAAATAGTAACAAGACGATTGTATTGAACACATTCATAAATCAAAACAAAAAACTAAATGTTTAACATACTGAACAATATTCTGTTTGTAGTGTAGAGTCTAACAGGTTGAATTGACATTCTTAATATTTTTTGGTAACGAATTTTTCTAGATTTTAAAAGAATACCCTCCACAGTCCGTTGAGTCTAAGATTTAATAATCGTGGTGGAGGACGGGAACCGTTTAACAAATGACGATTTTCAACACAGAGTTAATCAATAAAACGGAACAATTTATTATTGAACAAATGAAATAGTTATCCTATAATAACGGACATAATAATGACATATAAAAAGTACAAATGAAACGGGTGGAAGCGGAAACGGTTGGTTGGTCAGTCAGGTTTCTCTCCAAGAGTACAGAAACCGGGTGACAACCTTGGCGACAGGAATACAACCTCCGTCCTTTGGAAACGGTGCAAGTACCGAGTAACGACCTTGGTGGTGGAATAAGACCTCGATTCTTATCAAATACGTAAGTACCGGTATACGGATGCCGGATGGAGTAAGAAACCTCCTAGCCATCGGAAGCTCGGGGTTACAACCCCTCGGTGGGTCACAGCCTCACCTTCTTCAGGTGATGCCTCGGTTTAGGATTATGATCACGGAGTGGAGTGGGTTAAGTTCTCATCTGCTTCGAATGGAAGTCTCCGGCTGACCGCTCTGTACGGCATTATATCTTAACCTCGGTCTACCAAGCTACCAACCCCATCACTACTGCAGGTAACGGTGCTGCCAGTGGTACTTGTAGAAATTACTAATGTAAGTCAACAGTCGATACTAAATTTGGGGAAAGTCTTTGTTGCTGATTTCTTACATTTTAAAAATATCACCATTAGGTTCAAAAAAAAAAAAAATTTCACTTTGTTGTGATTTTCTCTGAAAGGTAGTCAACTTCAAATTTTAATAACTTCCCACTTGGAAGTTAAAAATCGAATTCTAGCAACAACCAATGCTTTTATAGTTGATTACTATAATTTTTTTGGAGTAACAAAGAATCATATTACTCTATCAGGAGAATATCAAATATCATTTAAACTAGTAATTATAATTTTACGGCAGGTATAAAAAAAAATGTAATAAAAATAAAAATCTATGTAGAAATTTCTGATATCTCGTAAAAAATAATTGATAGAAATTGTTATTAGTGCTTTTTTACAAATTAAATAAAAACTAACAATGCTGTGATGTTTAGTCTAGAAAAAAAGATTCAGTATTTTTGATAACAATTATTGCTATAAGCATTTATTTTATAAATCTTATCTTCGTTTTTTACAGTTTCGCAATGAAATTAGTTAATACTTAAAAATAGAATATATAAGATGTTTAAGAAGATAAAAATCAATTAATTGATGGATGAGTTTAATAGTAAACATTCCTAATAAACTTATAAACAATAATTCTAATAATACATTATTCTGATAATAAGTGTATAATCATGTAGAATAACTAATTGTTATGGATTAGATATTATTTAAAATTGAAGTTCCGTAAGTGGATTTAGCTGCAAAAATGAAGTTACTCGGCAAAAACAGCAGCCAATTCAATTCGTTCAGGAGATTCAATGGCAAGAAATAAATTTCGTCAGTGGATGCAGTAGTAGAAAATTTTTTTAAAAAGTTCAGCAGTGGAATAATAGAAAAATTCTAACTCGGGAAATTATACTAAGTAACGTACTTTAAAGTGTGTAAGAATAGCTTTAAAGTATCTACAGTATGTGTTATCACATTCGACAATTAATACACTCTGGTATATTATTATAAGATTTTTCAAATGAGTATGTAACGCAATGACGTCACAATGTATTTAAGACACAACACAATCTGTTTACATTAACAAACGTTATCAGTTACAAAAATAAAATGAAATTCTTTCCTAATATAATAAAGAAGAAGGTAAGATTATGGTCCTGTCTTTAATATGGTCCACTTGTTTATTATGCGAGTACTGTGCGTTTTCCATCAGCTAACCCACAAATATACTGAAAAATAACTCCAAAAAAATGTAAAATATAATTGAATAAAAACACAAAGTGACCCATAATCCTACCTTCTCCTCTATTATATTGAAGAAAAACTAAACATTCACAAACTTCATTGGAATAATTTTTTTTGCAACACTGGAATTGGAAGTTTAACTTTGGAGCGCTAAACTTCATGGCAAAAGTGCCCGATTGGCTGAACCGTAACTGCTTTTATTACTTTACCCCACAAGTATGGAACGTATTCTATAATTTCACAGTTTTAACCTGATAGTTGTATTCGAGTCCCGATTTTGAAATAATTAGTAAAAAAGTATAAAAAATATGATGGAAATGATCACACAACATCTATATGTATACAACGTCGTGTATTGAACATATAACACTTTAGCGACCACGATTACTCTAATGTTAAGCGTTAAAAAGAGTGCACTTCAATGAGGAAATATTAAATGGATGAATAAATAAATGTGATAAAACTCCCACGCAAAAAGAACATTAAAAGGAAGATTTTTTCCATTTTCGGGTTTAAGATTAAAAAAATTATCTTTTAACACTTTAATGGTTTTACAATGAAGACAAGTTATGAATGGTTAATTTAACTTATGTAATATATAAGACCCTGTTTCTGTCTTTTGAAAAAATTTTCGAGCAATTAACAGTAATTATCGTCTTGATATAACGGAAAAGTAATATGATAAGGACCCTCGACTTGCTCTTCCATTCTCAAAGATAGGCAAACCCAGAGCAAGATGAGTGCTTGAAGAAATAAAATATTTACAAACTGTATTGAAAGTTTTTTCTCTGTTGAATTTTTAAAAATAGCACAAATAATAAGCATAGATGTAGAGATTAAAAAAATGAAAGAACTTGATTATTTCCTCTGAAGTATTTAAACTGAAAGCTTTAGTGTTTTCCACTTGACATTATGGGCAGAATGAATTTCGCCATCTTTACAAAAGACAGTATAATTCAAACGTTTAATTTAAAAATAATGATATTAATTCTATGACAATTTTATACATACGTTATCCTAAAAATAAAAGAGATTTAGTCGTTAGTTCTTTATCAGACTGAATTATTTTAATCAAAGAAAATTAAGAGGTCATTAACAAATCGCAAAGATAACGAGTTGAAAAGAATGAATAAGATTTAAAAGGGTTATATTACTGAAAATCACATCGAATTTTTATGAACTAGGGCACATCTGAAAGGTTACACTATTTAATTTAGAAATCCTACATTAACATTTTTTATCACTCCCACACTGTGCTACAAAATATTCAAAGAGAGAAAAAAAAAGAAAATCTCTTAATTTTTCTAAATTCTCCAAGTATCCTTTAAAATCTTACAGGAGTCGGAATTAAATCCTTTTTCTAAAGTATCATGAATTATTCAATTAGAATTGTTTCATTAAAAGTATTTATTTGATAGCCGATTCCTAGAATTTAGACAATGAATATTTTTGACATTTTAATTATTGTCATAGTCGCACCATAAAAAACTCTGATCTAAAACCTTGATTAAATTCATTTCATTAGAACCTTACTTTTTACGCTTTTTATATTTTATATGGTGATATTTTAACGGACGATAAATTTTCATCTAATTTTCAGAAACTGAATAGGATTGAGAATAAAAGATATTTTATACGTAAATACAAATATATACAAAGATAAACATTTTCTCATCATTAATTAATTTTTTTTTTAAATCTGATATTTTTAATGTCATTGAATTTATCATTCCTTAAAAGAAAAGTTATAAAATGTTTCTTTCATGCTCAGTAGTTCTAAATGGGACATTCTACCTCTTAAGAGAGACAAGTAAAGTGATGATACCGGTCATTAAATTTTTCCTCTGAATTTGTTTTCAGAGTAATCGTATTTTTATTCAACCCTGCAAATTATTTATATTTTAAACTAACACAGTAAACAAAAGATAATTTAGGTTTACTTCGAAAAATACACCAATTCACACATTCAAAATTTTCCTCTTTAAATGAAATAAAAAATCAAACGAGTCGAGTCGACTGAATCTCTGGAAAATGGAGCCCTGGAGGAGTACAGTTAAGTGCATGCTACTGTGAACCACAGGTTAGAATTCATGGATTCAGACACTGTTAGAGTTCACACCCAGCACATTGAAGCATCCTAGCGAGCAATGCGATATGCCTTATCACACACTGGGATTCGAAAGGATAATTTAGCAGATCATTTCTGTGAATGCTTATGTCAACGATGGGTTGCAGAATTAACGATTGATCTGATTTCTCAGTAGATCAATGATATTAATTATGCTTATTCAAGCAATATAGAACTAAAAAAAGTATCAGTTATCGCTGTTTTAATTTCACAGTCGGAAAATAGAAGAAAAAACATCTGTATATCAAATTTCTGACATTATTGGACAGAAAAATTTTTCTGTTAATCGTATTATAGAAAGTTGAAGCAAAAGTATTATAACATACAGTAACTAGCAATATTTTAGTGAAATTGAAACTAGCTATATGTAATGATAATAATTATTACGATAATTACACTGAATGAAATTATAATTGAATAATAATGTAAAACATGACGAAATAATAATTCGAAAATGGATAAGAAAACAATTAAAACGTTTATTAAATCAATTGGAAAATCTTAATGACAGGGAAAATGTTTGAACATAAACAAATCAGTCAAGTTTTGCTAACAACAAATTCAGTCGTTTGTCAATTAACAGTTAGATGGAGAAATACATTTATTTTACAACAAAAATTAAAATCTATGATAAATAGTTTTATTTATCAAGTTTGAAAAATTATAAAAGTTTTGTCATGTGTAAAAAGGATAATCAATATGCGAAAACAAAAAAGTTATACAATCTTGAATTTTCAAATTAAATAATTATACAAGTGTCCTAGGTACAAATTGACGAATAAATATTTTCTACATTATTATAATAATAATTAGTAATCCAATTTAATTTTATACAATTATTTTCCGTTTCTACGAAGTATTGGATTCTCCATCAGAGTTCTATTTAAATACAAGAGTATCTAATTTACACATTAATGTCTTATGAAATTCCGAGTTGCCCTAAAGGTTTTTGCTCGACAAATTTTTTTGAAAATCAAATCAATTAATAAATGATTATCTAAACTAAATTACCTTTAAAAAAACAAACCAACTTGTTATCTTTATTATATCAGAGCTAGAGAGAGAGAGAGAAAGATAGAGAGGATTGTTAATGATTTCAATTGTGACAATAAATTCATTTATAGCGTGACACCTTTTGATTAAAATCAACAAAATGTTATAAAATAATTACCACTTAGTTAATAGAGTGCATAAGTCGATTTCTTAATAATTCAACGTTAAATAATAAATTATTCTAAACTGAAAGTCGCATTAAAAAACTTAATACTTTTAAAAGTTTAAAACAATGGAAAAAGTAAAACAAAAATGGACTACAAGTTGAAAACGTAAAACATACTCTTATTAATTTGTTGCACTTAAAGCAACTTTACATTAAATCAATAGATACTTTAATATTATAATAAAGAGTTTCTAAGTTCAAGTACTTTTAACTTAATTCATTGCCCTCTTACGATCTTTCCCACTCTCATGGTACAACATTTTTTAATAGTTATTCATCAATTCAATTTGTATTTGAACAGAATATTACATTAATGGTCTTATAGTATTCACTGTTGCAGACTGTGGTGGAAATTTGTCAGAAGAAAAGGAACTGCAAGTTCAATACCCATCCGAAGAATCAAAATGATCCTTGTCCACAGTTAGCCAAGTACACAGAAGTAACATACAAATGTCGTCCATGTAAGTAAATCAAACTATTAGTACATAACTTTAAAAAGGATTTGAATATTTAGAACAAAAATAATAAAATCTTTGTTGTGCTCATTAGATGAATTTCGAAGCAAAGTTGCTTGCGAAAATGACGCAGTTAATTTAGTGTGTAATCCTGGCAGCCGAGTAGCGATATTCAGTGCTTCTTATGGTAGGACTGAATACGAATCTCTCCAGTGTCCTCAACCGCATGGAGTCAAAGAGGAAAGTAAGTTAAAATATCTGTCACAAGTTGTGGTGGTTGTTATTGATAATTTAATTATTCTACTTCTTTTAGCTTGTACTGCTCCACATGCGACAGAAATAGTACTCAAGTTATGTCACGGAAAAAGAAAATGTTCAGTAACCGCAAATTCTGCCACATTTGGAGATACTTGCAATCCGGAAACACGTTCATATCTGAAAGTTATTTATACATGTGGTAAGTTCTTTGTTTCTTTTTTTCTATTTTATATAAAAAAGATGCATTCACTAATTACTTTAATTACGTTTAAATACCTCATTAGCTCGTTGAGATAATATACTAATTACCGTACTAACAATATGCGGAAAAAATTATTTCGACAAAACATATTTTTGTAAATATTTTTAAATTTTTCCAGCATTGTTCAGTGGAATGAATTTTTTAAAAAGGTCTCTATTTCAATGTCTCTTGAAGCGAATTAAAACCAATTTTGTTTTAAACTACATCGTTTGAAATTGTTTGGAAATTATTTGGAAATAGATTGAAATTTTTAATTAAGGTAGTTTGACATTGGCAAAATTCACAGTTGATTACCCTTTTTTTTTTTAATTTTCTCTGAAAAACTATACCTCCATGACTTGTGAGAAAAAAGAGATTTTTCTACCTTTTTGTTTAGGAGATATAACTTTGAGTAATTAAAGTTATGCAAAAATATATGAGTTCATATAACTGTCCTTGTTTAATTTTACCGGAAATTGATAAATTATGAAACATTGGCACAGTCCATCCACGCAGAGAAATGTATAGTAAAAATTACCCTGAATTTTATGGTGACACAGCAGGATGAGGGTAAAAATTACTATACACATTGTAAAAATTACTATGCAGTTTAGTCATTTTTACAATGTATATAGTAATTTTTACCCTCACCCTGCTGTGTCACCATAAAATTCACGGTAATTTTTACTATACATTTCTCTGCATACTCATAGTAAAAAATATTTTAATATAAAGAATATAATATGAAATAATATAATATAATGTAATAGTACTTAGAAACGTATTTCAGTTAAATTTCAGCATGATTTACCACAGTTTTTTTGAAATTTCTGTTTTAACATTGTAACTCGGGATGTGTCTTTGTTTTTCCACCATATTTGCTAGGAAAAAATGGCGGCAATGCTAATCAAAACCAGTCATATAAATTAAAGTTTTTCTTTCATTTCTCATTAACAGCTGTTACATTCAATTTATAAATTATCTTTACAAATCATATACACATACTGTGTAAAAAGTTGTTTGATAGATTTAAAAAAAAGTTTTTTAAAAAACATTACTATTTTGATTACCAATTTGTGAATGCCAAACTACCTCAATAACAATTATATTTAATTATTTGCTAATTCGGTGGTTGAGTGACGCAGCAGTTTGGCGTGCCATGGGTCGCGAGTTCGATTCCCGGGCCAGAAAAAAATCCGAGTATGGTTTTTCTAAAGATTATCGGGATCGGGAGCTCTCTTTATTGAGGTCGGTTGTATCGACACAGGTTTTCAGCAGTTTACCTGTGTACTCATGCAAATACGATATAACAGTTAAGGGCGTAAGTCGGCTACTGGCGCAACCCGATAGACCATGTGTGTAATAGTATATCGAGTAAGTAGGAAGTATTGAGCCTGTGGCGGAGGGGGGTGCGCGATGTATTCCTACCATCGGGACAGGAAGGAAAGTAAACATGCATGGAGGAAGTATTGTAAAACGCTGAAGAACACTCGACATACAATTGAAATAAATGATTTACTACTATATTTAATTATTTGAACTTTTGGTTTATTCCAAAATTACCTCAGAACGCTTTGAAGAGATCCCGTATTTAAATTCGTTAAGGTTCTCGAGAAATCACTGAACGAAATTTTTTCCACCAGTACTTGTACACTAGAGCTTTTTACATAAATTTTCAGTTCAACCCATTTAAAAATTTCACAGTCTTTGATTATGAACAATATTCCACTTTGATAATCAAAATAATTGGATTAGTATACTCTATATATATGTATAGATTTCGGAAAAATAATGTATCATATGTATTATTTATTTCAATTCTAACCTTAGAAAAATCACTTTATGTAATTTTAAAAAAACTGACGATTTTTTATTAACTAATTTAATAGGATGTACCATTTCCTAGCAAAGCAATGTAGATTTACTTATTTAAAGAAACAAAAAATGCTCTATGTTTTGAAATCAGAAGCACAACTGATATTGATAATTATTTTAATTTGAATAAAGTCAATATTGAATTTCTCATAATGTAATGGATTAAAAACTGTAAATATTAGAATTAAACTTGAGTTTTTATCAGTTTCTTGGTACAAACGATAATAAATATAATCATTTAGTATTTACAGAGAGCACAAAAAATTGCTTTATTATTATTTTCCTTTCTCAGTTAAAATATCGAATCCAATCTTCTGCCTAGATGTGTTTTGCTTTTTAGCATGTCTCCATTCTTTTTATTCTTTGTTAAACATATAAAGATCTTTTTTTGTCGAAGTCAAGTCAAAAGTATCATACAGGATAATCCAGTTAAAAAAAATTAATTTTTCATTTTAATTAAACAGCAACCTACAACTTGTACTGTTTAATTCCGGAAAATCTTCTGAATGAAAAATCTAGTAAAAATTTTAACCAAACATTCCTCTTTACTCATATGCTTGACTCACTCTAACTCTTAAGCAATTGGGGTTAGAAAAAAAAAGTAAATTCAAAGAACTCTTTATTTTTTTATTATATATCATTGTTGACAATTTCAAGAAATCAATGAATCTGGTGAAAAAATGGTGCTTTTTAAAACCGTAATTTCAAGCTTTCTAAAAAATATATCTTTTGGAAAAACACATATTCTAAAGTAATCTAAGTGATATATAATATTATCATAAAAGTAAATTAAATTTCCATGAAAAAATACGAATATTATTTTTAATTTGAACTTATTTTAAATAGAGAAAAATCTCCCGAGTTGAAAGATTATTCAAAATTTATTTTCAAATGCAAATTTATAAGTTCAATTTCCTTATGATATTTTATTGCAAAAATAGACTACCGAGAATCCAATTCATTCAAGATTTTACCAGATAAATAATTCAATTGAGAGACAGATTGCCACCTGTCGGTATACGCGGTAGAGCGCAAAGAGGTGGTGTTATTTGTATGCAAGTAATATTTAGTGTGAGTCTAGCGTATCTGAAATAGGTTCACACATGTTATAGAACATTTTGGGACAATAATACTAAATTTAAGATAAAATCTTTGAGAGAGTCAGAATAAGCTGGTTCTTGCACTTTGTATCATGATATCCACAATTAGCTTGTTATTTATATACACACATACATGCGTGCCTACACTTACATCTTTTACCCTATAGTTGGTTAACTCCAATGGGTTTTTTTAGGATGTATTGACTTTAATAATGGTATAAGATAAGACGTTGTACGTACCACACGAGTGAGTTCTCCTCGAATAAATTCGCTTAAATAGTGCATTGACCCAGAATAATTGTAAAGCGCTTGGATGATAATCTAATCTAGACGAACTACCTGCGTAAATAGGGAGACTGTCTTTGAACTAGCGTTAGGGTGCGAGATTTACGTGTAAATGAACAAAACTCGAGGACTTAACTTCCTGCTAGCTTCAATGGAATTCGCTTATACTCCAACTGTTATCTGAATACTTAATAAATGAACTTGCACAAATACAATAGCTAAAAAATTTTTAAAGACTCATTTCTCGTTTTTGAGAATTCCCAATTGGAAAATTGACTCCTTTCTTTAATCTTCATTAAGTCTTATATTATTTTTCATAGCAATATTAAATTAAAAACTTATGAATTCTGATCACATACTGAATATACAACGAATCTAAACTAAATAATATTTTAAATAAAAAGGATTAAGTCCTGATTGTGATTTGGTGTTTAAATCCTTTTTTTTCTTGATTTTCAATTAAATGAAAGCAGATCAAAATGATAATAGTAAATGGTAAATTTTTTTAACCATCAAAACTTAATATTGTTTTGTGGATGATTAATTATGAACATTTTTAATTGTTATGATTACAGTTGATCAAGATAACTCAACACTTTAACGGTTTAAAAACTTTGATAAATAATTTCATTAATTTTTTATCAATTATATTAATTTGGATAAACATTTAGTGAATTCAAATCAGTAAAAATTTCCATCACGACTACATCAGTTTTGAATAAACCTTCTAGAAGAATAAAAGAAATAAGAATAGAATGAAAAAATAGAACAAAACTAAGCAGCTTTTTTAGCAAATTCTTACATTCATACAAATTTCTAGTCACTTCCCGTATAAAAAAAACATTTGTTCCGGAGTCATGCCAGCAGAGTTCCAAATTTTAATGCCACTGCTGAGACGAAGCGACACACGGGTTCAACAACGAAACAACAAAACAGTAACAGGAAATAGCAAGCTGTAGTTGATCCTTTTTAATTGGTTGATAACGTGTAAAGGTAGATAAAACTATTTTAATTCCTTTCAGTACATTAATCAACTGACATTTAAAAGCTCAAGCTTATTAAGTGTTACATTTTTTCTATCATTTCCTATCTTTCCTTGATCTCATTGCTATAAATGCAGATCAAGTCTGGTTTTTGATAATCATTAAAGATACTTCTTCAAGATAAAATAAACTAAAATATGTACAGCTTCCAAAACATTGTCAAAATACCAATAGCAAATAAAAATTCATGGAAAATATATTTATTTTAAATTGAAATTTGAGATAACGGAGTAGTTACGCGGGTTAAAGCACTACTTTTCAACTTGAGCGGTTGCAGGTTCAAATCCCATTTGCAGAAGACGAAGAAATTCATTTCTAATAGTACTTTTCTAAAAAAAGTTTTCTTAGAACTATTAATTAATTTGATAGTTCTTCTGAACGAATTTAAATACAACATGAATAAAATAATTTACCAATAAATTTTTTTTAAAATTAATTTTTAAATTTAAACCAAATGTTATGCGGCTCAAAAAATTGACATATTTACTCATACACATTAGGGAATACAGGGCAAAAGGGATCCATGAGGCAAGACGGTTTTTTCGACTTTTGGTAACTTAGTGAGGTAAAATAGATTTTCCGAAGCTGTTAATACAAAAGTTAACATTGATTTAAAAATATGCTTATCACTCAAATTACATTATTATGTGTATAA